GGGCATGGTGGCGCATGCCTGTAGTCCCAGCTACTCAGGAAGCTGAGGCAGGAGGATCGCTTGAGCCCAGGAGTCTGAGGTTGCTGTGAGCTAGGCTGATGCCACGGCACTCACACTAGCCTGGGCAACAAAGCGAGGCTCTGTCTCAAAAAAAAAAAAAAAAAAAAACTGGGCGAAAGTGATAAGTGATAAACCTGTTACCATGACAAAATAGAACTTGGTATTTCAATTGCCAACAGGTTTAAATATCAAAAAACTTTCTCCATTTTCCAGGCCTGAGTCGAAATAAAAAAACAAAACAAAACAAAAAAAACTTTAAATTGGAAAAATAAATAAAATTATGAACCCAATTAGCAACAAGTTATCTAAAACTGTGATAGACTTGGATAGCTCTAAAAAAATTAAAACGATTATGGTAAATAAATGTGTTCTATAAAAAGAAATGTTTTATTGAGTAAAAATAAGAGTTACAGGCAAGGTGCGGTGGTTCTCGCCTGTAATCCTAGCACTGTGGGAGGCTGAGGGGGGATGATCACTTGACACCAGGAGTTCCAGACCAGCCTGAGCGAGAGTAAGACCCTGAGTCTACCAAAAACAGAAAAAATTAGCTGAACCGGGTAGCATGTGTCTGTAGTCCCAGATACTTGGGAGGCTGAGTCAGGATTGCTTGAACCCAGGAGTTTGAGGTTGCAGTGAGCTATGATGATGCCATTGCACTCTACCTAGGGGCACAGAAGGAGATTCTAAAGTTACAATTAAATGTGACAGTTTAAGCCAATATAGAAATGCAAAATTTCTATACATCATTGATTTTATCCACTGCTTGAAGAAAAATTATTTTTAAGTAGCATTCAGTTATGTCCTCTCTTCCTTTTTTTTAAATTTCAGAATATTACAGGGGTACAAATGTTTGGGTTACATATATTGCCTTTGCATGTGAGGGCTACAAGCATGCCCATCCCCCAGGCAGTGCGCACTGCACCCATTAGGTGTGAATTTACCCATCCCCCTTACTTTTTTTTTTTTTAATTCTGTCACTTTTGTATAGGTGTATAAATGTCTTGACTCCTAAATGGTCACATGTCCTCTATAATTCTACCATTTTTAACATACTCAGTGCTTGGAGACCTCTGAAGACAGTACAATCCCCACCTAAAACTAGGTATGTGAGTTTAACTACAGTTTTAGTACTTTGTGAGCAATACTGGGGAAATTTATATTCTATTTTTTTTCCCCAAGTATTTTGGAATCTTGATCAAAGAGAAATCTATATTCTTTTTTTTGTTTTGTTTTGTTTTGAGACAGAGTCTCGCTTTGTTGCCCAGGCTAGAGTGAGTGCCGTGGAGTCAACCTAGCTCACAGCAGCCTCAATCTCCTCGGCTCAAGTGATCCTACTGCCTCAGCCTCCCGAGTAGCTAGGACTACAGGCATGCACCACCGTGCCCGGCTAATTTTTTGTATATATATTTTTAGTTGGTCAATTAATTTCTTTCTCTCTGTCTTGCTCTTGCTCAGGCTGGTTTCAAACTCCTGACCTCGAGCAATCCACCCACCTCAGGCTCCTAGAGTGCTAGGATTACAGGTGTGATCCACCGTGCCCAGCCGAGAAATCTATATTCTTAATTTGAACTATAACTAAGACAATGTTCTTAGATCTAGGCTAGATCTCAAATAGCCTTCATAAGTCAGTACAGTACCTTCATCCTATAGTTGAAGATGAGACCTCTAGACATTTCTCCCAGGCTCGTGAAAGCTTTTCAAATTTTTTAACTGCCCCTTGTAATCATTTTTTAAATTATTAGTATGTTTTTGAGAAATACAATACTGTTATTCATTAATTGATATTTAAATATTATTGGAGTTCCATTGACATCTCCAAATATAAAAATATTCCAAAATTAGAATCTAACAGTTAATGAATGAATTCTTGGGGTAAGAAGAAATTTAGCCAAATTTATGATTTATGTGCCTAACCAATATACAATCTAAATGACATAGCCCCTTACACAAGGGACTCAGAGAAACTCACCTAGGATACATGTGACATAAACAATAGAATGTTAAGCCTTAGGAAGAGAATGCTAAAGATAAAACAGCTATCTTTAAATAATTGAAGGTTGTCATGTGGAAGGAGTAACTTGTTCTCTGTTATTTCAAGGATAGAACCAAGAATAGGAGGGGAGTTTAAAAAATTCAAAAAAAAATTAAATTTTTTAACTCATAACATTTTTCACAGAGTTGCCAACTAATAGAACAGTCCATCTAATAAAAAGTTGTAATTGACTTGGGTTGAACAAGATGACTAATAACATTGCTTCCAGTTTTTATTGAATGAAGATCTTTCTCCCACTTCTATATGCTATTCTCAAAGGCAAAAGATGCCATTATAACCATGTTAGTTGGACCAAGGCCAAGCTGAACCTTCAATTTTTCTGAAAGTGAGTTAGCCCACAGGATTCTAAGCACTGCAGGATTTGTAAGTGGTATATGTATGAGAAAGGTTCAGTTTAGGCTTTAATTTCTTTTTCTGTCTGTTTTTTGTTTGTTTGTTTTTTCTTTCTTTTTTTTTTTTTGAGACAGAGTCTTCCTCTGTTGCCTGGGCTAGAGTACCCTAGCATCAGCCTAGCTCACAACAACCTCAAACTCCTGGGCTCAAGTGATCCTTATGCCTCAGCCTCTCAAGTATCTGGGACTATAGGCATGTGCTACTACACTTGGCTAATTTTTTCTATTTTTAGTTGTCTGGCTAATTTGTTTTTAATTTAGTAGAGAAGGGTTCTCGCTCTTGCTGAGGCTGGTCTCAAATTCCTGAGCTAAAGAGATCCTCCCACCTCAGCCTCCCAGAGTGCTAGGATTACAGACAGGCATGAGCCACCATGTCCAGCCAAGGCTTTAATTTCTTTAATTCCTTATATTTTTAAATATGGAGGGGAATGAGGGAAAAATAAGTTTTTGTAAACTTCTGAATAGCTCTTCGAATACTCTTTATAATTTTCTCTATAGTATTTGCTCTTCCTATGCAAACAAACTATGCAAACAAAAAATACATATGATCCTCACAATTCTCTAGCATTCAAAAATTCCAGAGAAGTAGTTTTAATCATTATTTGGGCAGGAGTAACACTAGCATTAATGTGAATAATTCATTTAAAGAGGAAAACCAGCCGGGCGCGGTGGCTCACGCCTGTAATCCTAGCTCTTGGGAGGCCAAGGCGGGCGGATTGCTCAAGGTCAGGAGTTCAAAACCAGCCTGAGCAAGAGCGAGACCCCGTCTCTACTATAAATAGAAAGAAATTAATTGGCCAACTGATATATATATAAAAAATTAGCCGGGCATGGTGGCGCATGCCTGTAGTCCCAGCTACTCGGGAGGCTGAGGCAGGAGGATCGCTCGAGCCCAGGAGTTTGAGGTTGCTGTGAGCTAGGCTGACGCCACGGCACTCACTCTAGCCTGGACAACAAACCGAGACTCTGTCTCAAAAAAAAAAAATAAAAAAATAAAGAGGAAAACCAGAAAAACTTTGTGAAGAAGGGTACAAAGTTAAAAACTTAGTTTAATTATTTTTAATGGGCAAATTTTACTTTTTAATTCAGTTTCGATGGAAACAAGAAGTCTGTAATTCCCTCATGTTTAGAAAAGCTAAGTTGCCATGCTACATTTTTTAAAGCTTTGAAAAGGAAACACTACATAGAACCTCTACCTAATAAAAGTGAGACATCATCAAATATTGTATACTTGAAAAGACCTTTAAAATTAAAATGTTTTAGAAACAATTATATATCAAAATTAGACTTCATTGGGGCCAGGCGCAGTGGCTCATGCCTGTAATCCTAGAACTCTGGGAGGCCGAGGCGGGAAGACTGCTCAAGGTCAGGAGTTTGAAACCAGCCTGAGCAAGAGTGAGACCCTGTCTCTATTAATAATAGAAATAAATTAATTGGCCAACTAAAAAAAAATATATATATATAGAAAAAAAATTAGCTGGGCATGGTGGCGCATGCCTATAGTCCCAGCTATTTGGAGGCTGAGGCAGAAGGATTGCTTGAGCCCAGGAGTTTGGGGTTGCTGTGAGCTAGGCTGACACCACAACACTCTAGCCTGAGCAACAGAGACTCTGTCTCAAAAAAAAAAAAATTAGACCTCATTGGGCACACTACCATTAAGTTTCTCTCAGTGAAAAATAACAAATTAACTTTCAGACCCATTAAAACTTTAATAGATTTAGCTTAAGCTACTCCTTAAAAAGAAGCCTAATTAACAAAGAAGTACTTGAGATTAAAAAACAAAATTCTGCTCCCAATCCAGTAATATTCTGTTAAAAGCAAAGCAAAAAAACCATAATCTACAATCATCAGGACTCAAAAAGTTTTGAAACTGATAAAATCAGGTCAATCTACTGATTTGTGTTTGGAAGGAATAAAATACAAATAACTGGTAGGATATAATCTTAGCATACAAATAATGTATTGTAAAAATAAAGATTCATTTATTACAAACAAATTTCAGGAAAACATGCCTGTTAAAATATGGCTAATTTTGTCAACAAGTTGTCAGCAAAAAGTGTGATTAGAAAGCAAGAATATCAGTTAACATGTAATATTATACCCACTTCTTCAATCATACCTCTAGTTATCAGGGAAAATGTAATGGTAGCTCTAAGGACTTTAGACATAGCTCTAGGTTTATCGTATGATTTGCCTTTCATGTTTTATTGATTTCCAACTTTAAAAGAATAGGCACAAAAGATAATATTTTATAATATTGAATCACATGCACATCCTAGGAAAGTTCTCTTTTAATGTAGTCTCTGGAATCTTCCTTTCTGATTCTATGCTAGTATTTTATCTTTTTGTTACTGTTATTGTAAAAGTTTTTATTATCAACTGTCTAACCCTTCAAGGCCAAATTATCCTTAAATTTTTCTAAAGAAAAAATATCCATCCAAATGTTTTCAACATTGCATCTTTAGCCCCCTTTCCGAAAAAGGGTAGAGATTAACTTTAATTAATACTGAATTTTTTTAATGTGCAAAAATCTAATTCTGCTTTTTAAAGCAAATAAAAGGAATAAAAGTATGGCACCATTCCAATAATCAAATGCCAATAAAATTGGCAACAGTAAAAAGATCTAAGCAAATCTTAAATACAGCAAATTTGTAATGAGAACACAATGAAATGATTTTAGCAAGAAAAAGAAGCTTAATTTGGTAAAAAGAAATCAAATACTGCATTATATTGAATACTAAGCTAAGTAACAATAATCTTACAAATTCTCAAATTTCATTACTACTTTTGAACAGCTAAATTTAAGCCTCATTTTTTAAATTAAATGCCCCTTCAACAAAACTAATTGGAACAAACACATTTATGCAAGTTTACATTTTACAATGCCAGAGTAAACAGGAGATGTTATTCAAAGATGAATGAGAAAGTTCTATTCTTTTTCGTCATCTGTGCGATCAGGTTCCAAAGGACATGTTCTGTGGAAAGAATAGAGAACTTCAATAATCACGCAAGTAGGAACTGTTTAAAAAAAATAGTTACAAACCTATATAAATGAGAAACATTAAATACCAGTACAGTGACTAGATATTAGAGTAAATTAACTCCATTAACTGTCAAATACCTACAACTTTCAAGTACTAGTACAAGAAAAAAAAATTGTTTTGAGACAGCCTTGCTCTGTTGCCTAGGCTACAGTGCCCGTGGCATCAGCCCAGCTCACAGCAACCTCAAACTCCTGGGCTTAAGCAATCCTCCTGCCTCAGCCTCTCGAGTAGTTGGAACTATAGGCTCTCACAACCACACCTGGCTAATTTTTTCCATCTTTAGTTACCCAGCTATTTTTTTTCTATTTTTAGTAGAAACAAGTAGAAACATGGTCTCCCTGTTGCTCAAGATGGTCTCAAACTCCTGGGCTCAAGCAATCCTCCTGCCTCAGCCTCTCAAGTAGCTGGGACTACAGGCATGCGCCACCATGCCCAGCTAATTTTTTCTATATATATATTAGTTGGCCAATTAATTTCTTTCTATTTATAGTAGAGACGGGGTCTCGCTCTTGCTCAGGCTGGTCTCGAACTCCTGAGCTCAAATGATCCGCAGGCCTCAGCCTCCTAGAGAGCTAGGATTACAGGTGTGAGCCACTGCACCTGGCCTTAAGTAGATTCGTGATTCTGACTCTCCCATGCAACTACTGGGAGTTTACCCTGCTTTGGGGAGAAAAGTAAAACCACAGGAGTAACCATGTTCCAGAATATGAATTAAGGAGGTTACAGCATAAATTCTTCCTATAAACTCATTTACTATTTCAATAAAAGGATAATTACAACTCTCCTAAACAAAGGCAAATCTAAAAAGGGGGCCTAAAGAAACAATGTAAACCTCTATTACCTAGTTTTATGTCATAGGTTTTATTATATCATGGATTAAAATTATTTATGTAATCTCTCTCCATATGATGGAAAGGCTATATAATATAGGTTTTATTCCTGTGATGATCAATATCATAGCCACATTGAGTGTATTGCCAAATATTTTATTTCCTTAATGTAAGTCATAAATAATTCAAGACAACTGAAACTATATTCTAGAGCTAATATTGACTATTAGTTTGTTCATATTAGAATGAGAAAGAACATTACAGCCAAAGGGCAAATGTAAAAAAGAAAAAGAACTAGAAGAAACTTACAGGATCAGGAAAGCAAGCCGTTTAAAAAGCTCTGTCCAAAAATGTATCCCATTAGTTAATTTTTATTGAAACTAGAAATCATAATAGGGATATAATGACAAAGGGTAAGATTTAGTCACTGTTAAATATCTCACAGCATGGATAGTAGGCACTCAATAACTGCTTACTAAATGGCCTTATTGGCCGGGCACAGTGACTCACACCTGTAATCCTAGCTCTCTGGGAGGCCAAGGCAGGCGGATCATTCGAGCTCAGGAGTTCGAAACCAACCTGAGCAAGAGCAAGACTCCATCTCTAGTAAAAATAGAAAGAAATTAATTAGCCGACTAATATATATATAGAAAAAATTATCCAGGGATGGTGGTGCATGCCTGTAGTCTCAGCTACTTGGGAGGCTGAGGCAGGAGGATTGCTTGAGCCCAGGAGTTTGAGGTTGCTGTGAGCTAGGCTGATGCCACGGCACTCACTCTAGCCTGGGCAACAAAGCGAGACTCTGTCTCAAAAAAATAAATAAATAAATGGCCTTATTAAAGGTAATTGAATAATTGTTTAAATTTTACACTTTCATATGTCAAATATGTTACTTTACTCTTCTAGCCATTCATTTAGTTTTTGTTCAATGTAAATCATTTCCAAACACAATGTACAATCCCAAAACAGATGTACAGCATTCAATATAAAAGAAAAGTGTTCAGTCACACATACCATAGCTTGGGATCTAGTTGTTCCCGAGTAGGTTTCTAAAGATGGCAAATATTAGCTTAAGACTTATTAAGACACATGGCAAGGTGGCTCATACCTGTAATCCTAGCATTTTGGGAGGCTAAGTCAGGAGGATTGCTTGAGGCCAGGAGTTTGAGATCAGCCTGAGCAAGACCTCCTCTATACAAAAAATAGAAAAATAGGCCGGGCGCTGTGGCTCACGCCTGTAATCCTAGCTCTTGGGAGGCCGAGGCGGGCGGATTGCTCAAGGTCAGGAGTTCAAAACCAGCCTGAGCAAGAGCGAGACCCCGTCTCTACTATAAACAGAAAGAAATTGATTGGCCAACTGATATATATATATATAAAAAAAAAAATTAGCCGGGCATAGTGGCGCATGCCTGTAGTCCCAGCTACTCGGGAGGCTGAGGCAGAAGGATCACTCGAGTCCAGGAGTTTGAGGTTGCTGTGAGCTAGGCTGACGCCACGGCACTCACTCTAGCCTGGACAACAAAGTGAGACTCTGTCTCAAAAAAAAAAAAAAAAAAAAGAAAGAAAGAAAAATAGCCAGTCTTGGTGGCGTGTGTCTGTAGTCTCAACTACTCGGGAGGCTGAGACAGGAGGATTACTTGAGCCCAGGCGTTTGAGGTTGAAGTGAGCTATGATGCATCATTGCACTCTAGCGCGGGTGACAGAGCAAGACCCTGTCAAAAACAAACAAATAAAAAAACACACAAAACACAACACCTACTATGGCCATACTGGATACTGGAACATCTAAGCAATCAGTGTGTGGCCATGTGAACCAATGATTTCATGAAGTTAAAGGTTTCTGTACATCAAGGCAGTTGCAAAAGTTTTACTTTCCAGAATGAAGTCCACTTACGGTTAACACCAATTCTAACTATCTAAAAAATATTGACTATATAGAAAGTGTTCCAAATGTAGCTATTCTGATTCATAAAGGTTTTTTTTTTAAGTATTTACTGAAAGAGCACAAAAGAGTTGTGAATTTAATGCAGGCAAGTTTCCAGTCTTCATTTCCTAAACACAGTACTAGATTAATGTTATTTTTGTCTATTTCATATTTACCTCTTTCAAAATTTATCAAATATGCCTTCAAAATAAATCGATTTTTAAGTTGTAAAAATTATTCAACACATGCAGAGATAAAAAGCATTATTTTAAGATTATTTTAAGTCAGTCAATGCATTTCTAATCTTTGGACTCAAGTATGGTAGCTAAATGAATTCAGCACTTCTCTTGGATGGGAATGCATCACAGGAAAAACCTATCATTTCATTTTATTTTTATTTATTTATTTATTTATTTTTCTTTTCAATGTTATGAGTGTGCTAATCATTTCACTTTTAAGTGCATATGCAAAAATTACTCATTCTTGGATTTGGAATAGATTCTAATCCATCAGTGTCCTGCCACATGTCAATTACCACATAGAAAGTCAAATGCAATGTCAAATCCAAAACCCCAGAGGAAACAATTCAGCGCCTAAGAGTAAAAACTTAATGATGTAAAACTACCTAGAGTATGTCAGCATTAAATTAGGACTGCTGAAACAATACACATAGGATTTACAGTAACACCTGGTGGTTCTTTCCAACATACATATAAATAGAATCATGGAAGCTTTTTATATTACCTAATTACTTTACAGCCTTCTAGATTTAATGAACCAAAACGAAAACTGACTCCATTCCGCAGCTCATCCTTTTTGTCTAGATCAATGTGAAATTATTATTATTTTCAAGATAGAGTTGTAAGTGTCCATACTTTTAAGCCATTTTTAATATCATTAACTAATTTTCCATGTTGTCTTTTTTCTCAGTCTTGCACATGAAGCTCCAGCAGATTTAATATTGGCATTTATCAGCTAGTCAAATCCTTCAGATGCTCTTTAAACCAGTCCAATTTGGGACTCTCAAGATTGTCTGTGTTAGTAAAACAAGTAATGGAATTAGTAGATTTGATGAAGACCTTTGGTGAAGAGTGTTTTCCTTGCCACACTAGACTTCTAGGCACGATTTGGATTGAGTTTTAGAATATGAGTTAGAGAATGGTAGCTGTTTCTTGGCCTTCGTCTCTTAATAGTAGAGATGTAGAAGGGCAAGCAAGACCACAAGGAGACTGGCTGTAGACTGTAGAGCGCTGTTGGTGGGCTTTGTGGTCTCAGAAACTATAGATGCAGCTTCTGGCGTGCTGGTTAAGGGCACATATGAATAAACCTGCGTGTGTAGGAGCAGCACCAGAAGGAGCAGCCCCAGACTGAGCTGGGCTACCATCCCCTTACCCATGTGGGTCAGTGTGCCGGGGGTCCAGCTTGCTGCTTGGTGGGCTGGAGGCTCTTGTGCTCCTGGATGGTGCAGGGGAGGTAGCAAGCTGCACCTTATATTCAAAGAGCATCACAATGGCAGTGACATGACACCACCCCACCCCTCCCAAACCCAGTCAAATACTTTGTTTTTGAAACAAAACATTTAAAAGTTGTTTAGAGAACCTGGACCTCATTACTTCCAAATTTATTTTTAAAAAAGGTTTCAATTCTTTTTTTCTAAGTGGCATTATTTTTTTTCCTGATTATTAAAAGTGATATGTGTATGTTGTTAAAACTTGTTAGCATAGAGTGTAAGAAGAGATTTTTATCCAGAGATAAGCATTATTGATATGGGGTATATTTTTATACAGTACACATACATGGCAGTTTTTTCCTTGTTTTGGGGGGGTTTTTTGAGACAGTCTCACTCTGTTGCCAGGGCTAGAGTGCCATGGCATCAGCCTAGCTCACGGCAACCTCAAATTCCTGGGCTCAAGGGATCCTTCTGCCTCAGCCTCCTGAGGAGCTGGGACTACAGGCATGTGCCACCATGCCCGGCTAATTTTTTCTATATATTTTTAGTTGACCAATTAATTTCTATCTATTTTTAGTAGAAACGGGATCTTGCTCTTGCTCAGGCTGGTTTTGAACTCCTGACCTTGAGTGATCCTCCTGACTCAGCCTCCCAGAGTGCTAGGATTACAGGCATGAGCCACTGCGCACAGCCTTTTTATTGTTTTTTGAGACAGAGTCGTGCTCTGTCACAGGGGCTAGAGTGCAGTGGCATGATCATAGCTCACTGCAACTTCAAACTCATGGGCTCAAGTGATTCTCCTACAGGCACACACTATGACCTGTAGCACATTTTTCTTTTCATTTCTTTTCTCTTTTTTTTGTAGAGATGGAGTCTTGCTCTTGCTTAGGCTGGTATAGAACTCCTCAAGCAATCCTCATGCCTCGGCCTCCTAAAGTGGCCAAGATGTTTTACACTGTAAAGATTATACATCTATACATTGTACATTGAGAATTTTTGCTTAACATTTATCATGAGCATGATCTTGTTGTTAAAAGTTTACAAAGCATAACTTTATATGCTTCTTAAAAAGCTGGCACATTGAACTGTACATATAGTTTTATCCCTACTTTGTTTTGTTTTGAAGTATTCTTATGTATTTATGGAGAAGCTGCAAAGAAAATACACCATGGTGTTAGTCTTGGTTGTTTCTAGATAATGGGGATTTCTATATTTTCCAACTTTTCTACATTTGTTATATATTCCTTGTAGAAGTTGAACTAATAGTTTTTTGAGGGACAGGATTAATGGAATTCGGGCTAGATTAGCCAACATGGAAAGTGACTTTTAAGAAAAGACTCAAGAAAAAAAAAGACAGTAAAAATTAAAGAATAAACACAGTAAGTTATGATTTGTAACAGCTCTTATATGAATGGGAACTGATCTTCTTTGAGTGAATAGAATGAGTTAAAATACCTTTTATTAATGTTTAAAGTTTGGGCGACCTATAGGAAATTAGTACAAATTTTAAAAACTTTTGGTTTATATTTTCTTATCAGCTTGAAGAGCAACTTTAAAGTTACTCACTATCCTATTTGTCCTTTATTTTCAAGAAGATAAATCTTTTCTTTATATTCCAGAATATAAAAACTTACTTTCTCTTTGCTTTTCCTAAACCACTGCTTCCTGCCTCTTCGGGAATCCGATTCTCTTTTCCAGAATCTTTAGTGGACAGCCTAAAGAATTCTCCAATTCCTTTTTGCCACTTGGGAGTTGGGCGCACACAAACTGGATTCCCTCCTGCATACTTATTTTCAGCTGTAAAATATAAACAGAACCAAGAATACAATCACCCTTCCTTAAACAACTTAATTCTTTAACATCAAATTCTTAAAGGTATTAAATAATCTTTAAGACTTCTTGAAGATTTAGCAGTGTGTCACAATGAAGCTATATTCAGTCAATAAACTCAGTTTGATAGTTATCCTAGAAAAAATATTAATAGCAGTAACAGAATTTTTACAACTGGAAAATATCTTTCATATTTTGTCCATAAGTAGAGCTATTCACATAGTCTTAATGTGTCATACTAAAGTTTGATATAGATTTTCCTGATATAAGGTAGCACCAGGTAGTATAAACTGCCCACATTTTACTTAATAAGGTCATTTACTTAAAGCACATATAAGAGGCAATGCAGGCTGGGCATGGTGGCTCACACCTGTAATCCTCGCACTTTGGGAGACTGAGGTGGGAGGATTGCTTGAGGCCAGATGATCAACACCAGCCTGAGCAAGAGTGAGACCCTGTCTCTACAAAAAAAAAAAAAAAAAAAAGAAAAAGAGGAAAGAAAGAAAAAAAAAGAAAGAAGAAAAAAAAAAAAACTCACACATTTTCATCATATAACAATGACTCTTGAGAGGACTGTTACTGTTCCCTTGGGAAGCTTTTCTCTTTTTTTCTACCCTTCATTTCCTGTCATAAAGCCAATGCTGGCACCTTTGCACATCCTTTAATCCTGTGATGACTGGGCGTTTCAAAAAATTTGCTGTTTTTTGTGGAATTTGGCCAAATAACTTTATCACTGTAAATGATTGACATCCACTAATTTGCACAATATGAATCAATTATTCTTTTCTTTTTGTGGATTCCATGTGACTATCACTCTATGGATTGTTCACGCATT